TAAATATATCTATCGAATTCGCTTTCGCTTTGTTAAAATTAGTTATGCTATTTATGTGTCTGCATGTGGGCGCAAGTGCCAGTTTTCTTAAGTGTAAGCGCCATGGGAGTGGCYCCATGCGTGGGCGCCTCAGGAAACAACCTTGCAAATGACAACGACGCATTCACACAAGTATTGTATAACAAAGCCGCCATTTATGTAACATCTCAGTGMATCAGCATTACCTCAAACCGCAGGAGGTTTTCTCACCTCCCATATTTGCGTGAGAGCGTAAGATATCCTGTTGAGATCGATGTGCACAGCTTTCTGGATTKATTTCCATGCATCAGCCTCGAGTATCTTAATAACGCTTATTGTTATGCACTTAAGAAGGCATTCCGTTTCATAAATTGTTGGCATAAATTACCCCACAAAGTCACGAAAAGTAGCTTATTGTTAAAATTTGCACTAAAAAGGTATATAGGCGATATAAATTGATAACGAAGGAGTTTTTACCCTCGTRCCGTCCATACTCAAGCTTCGGAATTCCAACCAAAAAGAACTGACTAAGTAGAAAAACTGGTGAAAAAGTGGCGAAATTTAATTTTGCTTCTATGTTTTCAGTGTCTGCAGATTAATTGCTGTAATTAGACTAAAATTATAATACTCACAATGTTTACACTCGGCTGTAAGGCAATGTGCTTATGGCTAATGAAGCCGTTCCAAATTGATATTACCTCCTTTAACTTTTGTGTGAATGTGCATATGATCCACACTAGGCCTCCATACAAGCTCAATGTCGTAGCATCAGAAATTCGCCTGTAATTAATTTTAAACTATTGTGTAATTGTCGGGCAAATACATAACAAAATTCTAAGAACAGTTCTGAGAGATTTCGTATCAATTTTACATTTTGCAATTGATTACATACATATACTCTAATGTTCACAATTTTTCACAAGACCCTTGGATTAACCGACAATTTCGAAGTAAATTCCATTGCTGGTACTATCACGTTTGTTTGTCGAAGATGGCGAGTTGTACCGGGTAAAAATACCAGTTTATCTGATTTGCTCGATAAATGGGAATTTTTTACAGAAGTAATCTGTCGCACGCATGAACGAACATGGCTAAACATGTAATTCAATTCATGTTTTTAATATCGCGCCTCATTCCTATTTCTGTGTTCATATCATTTTATTTGACTCAAATGCGCTCCCATAAACACATCTATCGGACATTGTCAGTCATGCACATAATACTAGTGCGCGCATAGCCTATTTTTACACTTATTTGCATCTATCGATTTTCTGTGTACTAGACCTCACCTAACGGCTCCGATATACATATGTACTTTGTGCTGCAAGCCGTATAGACATTTTATCCGATTTAGAAGCGAACGTCTAACGTTTCGCACTACCACATGATGCGGAACGTGATATTTCGGTAAGCATTTGCCCTGCTTACGAAAGTGGAATTATCGCGGAGGACAGCTTACTATTGTACATATATATTTTCAACCTGGATCTGCGGTTCAGCTAAGACCAACAAATTTGCTAACAAACAAACCGTACTCATGCCGACAATATATATGTACTTTTCCAGCAAAATTCACTACTCATTACGAATTCAAGATTTAAAGCGATACATCCTGATTTACAGTTAAAAGTGTGCATAAAAACGACGAGGACAATCCTTAACGCCAACCAACACCGTCGCTGCTGTGTTGACATATATTTTTAGGCGCGCTCTTTAAGGGGTGCAAATGTTGCACTCGAATGCGGCAACTGACGTTTTGACCCAGTTTACTTGTTCTACTGTATCGCTCTCGCTGGTACACTTTGCATAGGAGTATTATTATTGCATCGTTATACAAAGCTCCACCGTACATAATAAAAACACGCAGCTGTATGCATATGTGCAGGTATGCATGTATAGCTGTGTGTAACAGTATTTTGTCTAAGTCTCCACACTTTTGCTTTTGCGCCAAACTAGGCTGTCTCACTTCATATTGATGCTAATATTGCGGTCCGGCAGTTTTATGCCCGCAGCACAGTTCAAAAGCCCGAAAATCTCCATTTCTGACATGAAGAGGATTCATAAGAATTTGTGTTTGGAAGTCACCAGTAGGTGGAGGTAATAAGTCCTCTTGCACATAGTATGTATGCCTATGTATTGGTGTAAATACAATCACTTCTATTTCCGTTTGTCTGCGCTTCCGTTTTTCAATTTTCAATTTGCTGATAACCCTTTCACATAACTTATCATTTCCAACGGCTACACAAAAGCGTGTTTTTTAATAAATAACATAAAGCCATATTATCACGCACATAAACACATAACTTATACTCATAGACAACAGAATAATGCTATAAAAGCTTCTCTGCCATCATAATAAATAGCTTTAACTAAGCAAAGAGTTTATTTTACTCAATATTTATGATTTCATTGTTGTGCAACTTTTATTATATATATGTACATATRTATGTATTCAACCATCTCATAATGTAAAATAGGAAGCTGACATTTAATTAAATCTTGATTATAACGTCGTCGCAGTAATTTGGTGTATTGAAGGAACTGTGGCTAAAGCAATGTATTCCACGGAACATTCCGAAACTAAAATCTTGCTGCCTTACAGAAAAAGGCGGTCGCGAGTGATCTAACCAGATGATTTCCTCGTTGTCAAAAACGCATCTAAACGCCGGCGAACAATCCTGAAATATTATTTTTAAAGCCAAGCGATGCGTTTTATGATCAAGTGGGGACTTTATAAAAATATAAGATTCCCAAACACAACCATTGGATTCAGAAATACAACGTACATAACCTGCGTGTGGGGATTCCGCTTTGATTCCTTGAAACCACACATTGCTAATATTATAGAAACGAAAGAGCGATTGCTTATATAAATCGTATCAAGTTYAGAAATAAATTATGAACATTTTGTAATGTTAAACAAAAGTTATTTCAATTAATCGTGTGTTCTGCAAATAAAAGAATGCTTGCAGCAAGTCGTTTGTGCACGCAACCGTTCACACGTTACRACATAGCCACCTCACCTGGGTTATTACATACATATGTACACATTTATTACGTGCGTATGTATCTGCATTTGATTTGATATGTATACTTTTAAGGTAAAATRGCAAAGTTTCCACACAAAGCAAAACGAATTTATTCCTTTACAAAATGCTGTAGCAGATCGTTCTTTAATCGCCTTATATACATACATACACCCATAGATATGCATATAAAATATTTTATAAATAAAAAATTTGTGTTGTTCTGTTGCAGGTTTTCCAAGCAATATGAGCTTCCGCTTCTTGTTCAAAGTGTTGTGATGAACATAACCATGTTCCTTATGATCCATTTATGTGTTAAAGTGAAAAGAATGAATGCTTCAAATAGGGAACTCAMTTTTTCGGGTAAGTGCACTATGATTTGCCCATATTGAATATGGCATATTACAAATAACGTTCCTACTAATAATAAATTATTTCCCAGCCGATGATCTGCGTCTACCAAAAGTAACGACCGACACTGATACTGCAGGCTCAGTTTCCACAGATGCCGGCGTTTTGAAACGTGCTCGCTCGAGGCACTATTTAAACGGTAAGTACGCACCTACGTTCATATGTATGTATGCCTTTCGGCCTTACAAATTCAACTAAAATTCAACTTCAAAGCATATTGTCCAAAATAATTATTTCAGATCTCGATTACAAATATTTTTGGAATTGGACCGATTTTCAATCGTATTTAGACTTCATGCTCGTTGTTTGGGCAATCGGGGCAGCTATCACATATCTAATGCTATCAATTACGTGGTTTATGGAGGCGGTTGGCTTTTGTGCCGTTTTCACAGAGGCTATGTTAGGTGARTACTTTTACACACCCACAGTAAATTATCAGTTATAAAAATGTAACGARTCTTGTAATTTATTTACTTAGGAGCGCCACAATTTCTACGAAACTTTAAGAATAAATCAACTTATGGAATGAGCATCCAAATGGTCATCATGTGGACGCTAGGTGATATGTTTAAGACTGGCTATTTTATTGTTAGGGAATCTCCAACACAATTTTGGATTTGTGGAACACTTCAGGTGAGTGAACAAATAATATTATTAGATTATGTTTATCCATAGCATAGTTGTAGTTATTTTTCTTTGAAAATTTTATAATTTTTTTCACCATATTCATATTTAATACTCATTTAACTTTTTTTTTTTTTTTTGGTTTTTTTTTTAAGTATATTATGATTCCGATTTTGAATAACCACAAACCAAATTCAATTATTCTAATTGCTTTTGTTTTTTTAATTGTTGCTGTAGGTTAGCTTAGATATTGCAATACTTTTGCAAGTGTGGTTCTATAGGAAGAATACCAAGGCACGAGATATGCGTCGCGGAGATTAGCAGTTTGCCCCCGAAGAACAACCACAACAAACACAAAACAATCCACATGATATTCACATTCAAAACAATACCACGGACATCAACCAATCTCTCGCTATAAGTCCCACAAGTAGCGGAGATGATCATCTACTGACCGCAAATGCCGACAATGAACATTTTAACGACTATGGAAATACCGCATATAAAAAATATCATGATAACAGAGCCTTCCAATATCACCACAATAATAATACACTTTCGAAACTAAAAGGGTTATCCAATGTCATGCCAACTGACGAAAACTACGCATTAGATGCCGTGGTAATTGTAAAAAATTCCAATGGCGTACTAAGAAACTCATCCAGTCGATCGAAATCTGATTTTCCAATTGATATGGTGTCGGTGACCGCAGAAGCTGATGGCAGAGCACGTCGAAGATGTCGGTGTCAACACAATGAGGTAGTGCGGCAGCGTCATAACGCTACACAAACACCAGGGTCTATAGTAAACTGCAGTCAATTGATAAATTGTCACAGTCATAGCGCATCAATTAATTGTTGTGGAAATAGAAAATCTACTGACTGCTGCAGCTTAATAAGTGGTGATTTAAAATCCGGTGAAATGACTTCTCACTGCCACATCACACATCATTGCCACCATTATTCCCCGGGTAGTGGTAGAGGCGGAGAGAAACGCAGCAAAAAGCCATGTGGGTGCAATAATCAAATAAATAATCGACAKCATCACTCTCACCATCATAGGCACCGGCATCACCGCTATCGTTACTTGCAATCGGAATATCATCAACAGGATAAACCCCTCCGCCAACTTCCAGGTTATAACAGTAAGTCTTCCTTTGATTCCAGTGATGATCTACAACAATCTGGCCTTGAAAATCAGCAAGGACGCTTGCAAGAGATTGCAATTGAAATTGATGCAGCCACATTGACTGAAGATAACACAAGCACTGCCACCTCAAATTTTGCATATAAAATGGCGAAGTCTAACATAGCGCCTATAATAATGGCACCAATACACGATAACGATGAGGATGACAAGAAACAACGGAGAAAATATCATGGTCATCGAAGTGATTCCATGAACTCAAGCAGCACAGGGGAAACTGATGAATTGTCTCATAGAATTTCCGGTGTGAAACGTAAGAAAACAGGTAAGTTGTAATATGTCCTTAATCTCACATATCATTCTTAATTAATACAAAACAAGAGAATATCATTGGAAATATATACATATACATTGTTTTTCAGATTGTGATAGCACTCCAATTTGGACTGAATCTAATCCCGATAGACATGAACCCACTATTACACCACACTTATCATGCTGTAAGGACTTTCAGTGTCGGGCCAAGAGCAGAGAGGCCAACAAACTCGATGCGGCACATAACGAATGTGTTAGAATTCAGCGCAAACAATTCAAGGCGAGTGGAGCAGATGAATGTTGTAGCACTTGTTCACATTGTTCAGAATGTTCCTGCCAGAATGCGGATGCCACTAGTTGCAGTAGTTTTGATGAATTGGATGCAGACGACCATGATGAGGAACGACGGGTCGCACCCCATGAACTAGTGGTCTCAGCAGAATGTCATCGCTGCAATTTTCACCAAGCATCTACAACGTCAACTGGAGATGAGGCAGAAGAGGAAGACGGTGGTGCAGAAGATAGACTGACGGCAAAAATTACCAAGTATACGGAACGATCCATTCAGGATAACCATGCTACGGACAGTTCTGCGCATACGAGTCGAAGAAGCAGTGCGAGTTATTGCTCCTGTCATTCGAGTAATTGTTATTGTTGTGAATGTAATTGCGCAGATGTTGTTGAGGACGACGGCGACTCGACAACTGGTCAGATGCTTACAGCGAGGGACCATGCCTGCACGGCCTTAACATCGACTACCGAATTTGATGCAGAACACTCAAGTACACTGACACCATTAACAAATGCTTCATCTGCCGTGTCAACGCCTGGTGCGGAAGACGCTGATGTCACCCTACGCAGTTTGACCAATACTTTAGCCGAGGAAATTTGCTCCTCTCCGAGCCAATCTGCAGAGTATTTCTCACTCTCTTCCAACAATCAGCAAAGTCATTTTTCTCCTACAGAAACTCCTACTCATAGAGCAATAAAGACACCAACTGAAATCCGCACAGCCGAAAATTTATCTAAATGTAATTTAGAAAAATCGGTTGATTCAGGAGAGCTTGGTAAAAAACCATGCAAACACTACACCAAACATCATCGTCATAAACGACCGACTTCTCCTCTGGACTGCTATTTATGACGAAGTGTTTCGCTGGTCGCGTGGCCAGCGATCGATGTGAACTCGCTCCTTCAGCAGACTATAAGAAAGACGGCCGTTCTACATGAACCTCCAACGGCGGGACTAACAGAAACACAAGGTAAGTAAAAATTTACACATTCGTAGGAAGCTTTTCAATAACATTTATAAAAATTTTRCAGGGACGGAACTACAACATCGAAAGGGTACAAGACATGGAAGCAATGATAGTTCCTCGGCCACGTTGACCCCATCAATTACAACAATTATCAAATACCCACCTATGAACAGTGCAGCTGGTAGTTCTACAGCATCGGCCACACCACAGCAGATATCACTACAATCGTTGAACGCTGTCTCAACTGTCACGGCCATTTGTGGCAGTAACGGCGCCTCTGTGGTAACTACCGCATCAGCACCCAGTAGTGGTCGAGTGAAACGCACTTCCAAATTTTCACCAGCTTCAACTGAAGCTTTCAATTGCGACCCTATACTCTTTGGTCAGGAACGCCGATCAACCGAAATTATCTTATAGCCATTTGGCAATAATGGGGGTTACAAACCAAGAACTAATGCCTAGAGTGCCATACTTATCTGAAATTTCGCGGTCTGAAAAGATCATGTCTCGGCTGACTCTATTTAAATACGACCATGTTATACATCTCGTAGTTTAAYAATGGTTATCTATTAGTTTCCTTTTGCAAGCTTGCTAGTCACTGTCTTGAAGTATTTAATTGGGCTAATCACTTTGTTGTTCAAACACATGTATATGATTATCATAATAAACCCGAATTTGTTTTAATACTTTACAATGCCTATGCACAACGGAAGATTTGAAAAAATATAAATTCTGAAATTCGGCATTCTGTGTGATCATCTAACGGTTGATCTTTTTCACACTTTATCTATACATTTATTTTGATACTGGGGTGAATATTCATGGAATTGACATAGAGAATATACAGAAATATCAAAATTACCACACTTTATTTTTACAGGTATTTAAGACTTCAATGAGTGTAGGAAAGTTTAAGTTTTCCTCATTTTATTGTGTGAACTGGACTATTGTTTCTAGAGTTTACTAAACTAGAAAAATTTCGTTGTTTCTCGGGGGTTCAGCTGTAATTTGTTTAAATTAAGTAACTATGTATTTGTAAATTGATGTAAAATATATTTAGAATGTATGAAAATAGCTCTTTTTATAAAATTTAGTTTTAGATTTAAAATAAGTGTTATACATTCTAATAAAAATTTACAACTTACATTGAAATATTATTTTAATTATTTGATGCATTAAAACACATGACGTATAACATAAATTCGTRTACATATGTATGTATGTACATACACGCTCAAAAAGTTAGCATGGCAAGCATCTTTATTTTGAAATCAGTTATCGAAATATCATGACTTCTAATTTTTGAATTTGGTAAACTGTAGTTTGTACTACATTTACGCAAGTCATTTTTTAAATTTTTTCTGACTTGCTTATCATGAATATTTTTTATAACGTAGAAGTATATCCCTAACTCTGCGAATAATTTTTGTAAAACGAAGCGATTTACAAAAAGTAGCAGTATATTTAGTTCAACTTTTTTTTTTTAGGAAATTCTAAGCACTATTTATTGTATATTTATACATTGCAAGTACTAATATTACGTTAAATACGGTTAGAAAAATTTATTGGTTAGGAATTCTGCTCTATATTACGAATTCATATTTCATTTATAATGTTTCTCTAAAAAGGAAACTTAACGTCAAACCATCAGTTGCATATTTATTTCAGATCGCCCAAGAAAACATCATTTATATTGTCAGGTATTTCGTTGTAGTAGTTTTCAAATACTCTTCCATAAATCGTTAACTGGAGATTCCACGTCGAAGGTAATTTGAATGATAAAAGTATTCATAGAATTTATGAAAATTTGCTTGGAGAAAGCATGCATTTAGTTAAATGTAAAGCCATAAAAATGTCTTGAAACAGAAACACATTTAGAATTGCATAAAGAGAATCAAGAATCTGTTTCATATGTTCATACATAGTATATACATACATATATATACAAGAAAGATTAAATACTATTACAAATTGTCAAATAGTACGTAAATATGTACTAACATACATACGCATGCCGYAGTGACTTTCATTCTTCATTATATTGTTAACACCAATTATTTTACATTTTTCGGATTGCTAATTATTTAGAAAGAAAGGTATATTAGCATAAGAATATTTCTATGGGGATATGTAACTATAAAAAATTGTATGAAAACGCTTGAGGGATCCCTTAACTTATGAAGTAAAGTAGTAAATTAGTTATATTAAAATTAAAGAAGTATAGTATATGAATTAACCAAATATTATTGGTGCGATTGTGTAGTGTTATTTTTGTTAACTTGTTGGACTGAGATGCAGTTCCATACAAGTAAAAATTTATAAAAGTTTATAATAGCAATATTTTAGCTACATATATACATCCACGACTATATACTRAAAAATGTTGATTTATAAGAATACAAAACATTTGTGGACATAAAAGTATAAACACTAATATATACTCACATTTACACGTAGATGTATGTACATATGGTAGACATTTTGGAAAAACGTAAAACTATTTSTAAGAGTTCAAAGCAATACATACATGCGTGCTTAGGAGGAAAAATCGACATTAATTCTTGTGATTTCTCAAAAAATTTATGTGTGCGTTTGTAGGTATATTCACCAACGCAATTCCTGTTTCCATAAAAAAATTAGAAAAGTGAAAACCAATTACGTACTTTATATACTTACATACATTAAATTCTTAATACCGTAGATGCATAGCTCTTTTTCAAACACTTTATAATGTACAAATATGGAAGAATATCAGTAGCCTATATACCTACATACATATATATATGTAGCTTCCTGGAAAGAAATAAAAGTAAAACAAGTTTATTAAAATATCACCATAGAATTCGTTTAATTTAAAATAAACAACGATATACAGAACATATAGGCGAAAATTCATCATGGTATTCACATTATAGTATTTCTCACATTTTCTAAACCAAAAAAATGAAATGTGATTTGTTTTCCGGCAGTTGGTAAAACCAGCAGAGGGCGTTCAAGATTTGTCATAAATAGAAAAACGCTTAATTTCAAATTTCTCTGAATCACCCTGTTGGGACTTCTTGCCATTGTTTTCTGTTCTTATAAATCAGCAATAGTAGTAAATTCTGTCAAATTTTGCATTTTTGCAACACAAGTTAACGGAATTTCATTACGAGCGGTTGTACGATGCGGTGAGTGGCGCAGTGGAMAAATAAAATAACAAAAAATGCGAAACAGCAACAAACAAAACGGAAGTGGGGATATATGAAACTAAAGAATTTATACAGAACAAAAGGTTCAAGCTCTTAGCCAGCATATGTTTRTACAAATTCCCAAAAAAGTGCATAAAAGTTATATTAAAATTGCAAAATTGCCTTYCTTAACGAGTAGTCAGCATCTGAGCTGCAATCATTGATTTTACCCATCTGTATTGGTCTCGGATAGGGCAGCTGTCACAAGAATAAAGTCAGCAAAGGCAGCCAACAGATTCACAAGGGTGCAGAGAAAAAAAAAAATAACACTAGATCTTCACTTTCACATCAACGCGGCTAACTATCTTTGAATGACGGTGAGTACAAACTACGACGTTATAGCACATATAAAATTAGTAGATTTAATCTTTGGTCCATTGTCAGCGAAAGCTCGCATGGATATTCATATTTACACACTGTTAAATTCATGCATTTATATCTAAACGAAAATATGTCCACATGTACATGCGTAGAACAAATTTTATGTGTATGTAATCCCTACATTCGTAAATTAGTAGGCGTTTTTATATTTGTTTGTGCGTAAAATTTCATTTTAGCCATTTTTTGTAATTGCTAAAAGAGTTTGGTAATCTATCCTTTTCTAAGGACATGATTACTTTAATTTATCAAAACAAATACATATACATATATATAGTAATATATGTATGTGCATCCGTAAATAATGGATTAAAAACTGTAACGAACGAACAGTATTTAAGTATCTTTACACAACTGTAACATAACAAAAAAATCAAAAATATGTAAATTATATCATAATAACATAAAGCCAACATATTTAGTGATGCTATTCGTATATGTGAAATATAATTAAGGAAATCCTTACTATAGTTTTGATTTTTGATTTTAGTCAATTAGGCTTTGAAATTATTTACAAAATTACATTTTTAATTATTGCRTATTGGCAGTTAAAACAACTAACCTCTTAAGTTTTTTAGTTTTAGAGAACATCTTTAGTGTTATTCTCATGTTACATCCTATTTCCTGTCCTTTGAWGTTCATAATTAAAGATATAACCTTCACATATTCACCTTGCCTACTCAGAAGGTCAGTAGAGTATTACAATCGACACAGTGCACAAGATGAGCGCTGAAGAATAGGAGTACTTACAAGCATATGCACATAATATGTACAAAATAGATACGTATATTCAATAGAATAACGTGTGGAAAATTGCACAAATTTAGAACTCCTCATATTCTCTATAATACCCTTTTTTTGCAGTATGTATAGAATTTATATTCTTTGTTGTAGATTTTGGCTCGGTCAAAACTTGAACCCACAACACACCAACGCTCAGCATCAACGCCTATCAGGTTTCATTTATTATGCTTGACTGACTTATTTCAAATTTGGCTTTATTCAGTTAATGTCGTAAGGTTTAAATATTAGTCGAATACACTGTTCAAGAGCCCACATGTTTGTTTGCAAATTTTCAAGTTCAATGATTAGCACTCTGAAGGTGAGGAAGATATTTTATTCAATAATATACATACATACATAAGTGTTCAAATATATTAACAGGCTTATCTTCGCCAATGCTGAGGCAGTACAAAACAAATACATAAACAAACGCATGCGTACATTTATATCAGGCACGTATGCACTGACATATATGCAATACGTATGCACTCAACAATTAACAAACAAACATATTTACTTAAGATAACATATTGACGTAASATATGCATTTAGGCAATTGAATACAAATGTGCATGTGSACTTAAAAACAACCCCATACCATGTAGCATAAACAATGTGCTACATACATATGAACATGCACACATACACATATATTAATATAGTTCTTAAAATTGTATATAAATACGTGAAAATTTTAAATAAAATCAGACTAAAATAGTTCTTGTAGAAGGAAACACTTCTCGTAGAATGAAATAGTTCTCAGCTTAAATAAAATCTTTATTTTCCCCTCACCAGTGGTAAGGATATAAAGCATCTTATTTAAATTTAAAAGTTTGATCTTACAAATCAACCAGTTTGATTATAATTCAAACTTAAGTATGCGTGTTTATGTTTTTATAAGGATTTATGTAAATATTTTACTTCTGTAATATCTATCATCATACATAAAATTCGTCTTAAATGTGAAGTTAAAAAGTTATAACTGATTATTTTCAAACGAAAAATTTTAATTCAAAGAATATGAGTGGATAAGGCTGTATTGAATTTTAACAGCTCAATGAAACACTCTTGGCAAGATTTTGAAGCCACAAGTCTAAATATTTCCGGAGTACACAAGATAATGAAAATAATAGAAGGATGTTATTTTATTCGGTTTGTCTAATGGTTTCCTTATATTGTTGTAWAATCCAAATGTTTCCGTTCTCATTGTGAGTTATGTTTACATCTCAATGAGAAAGTATCTGAGAAATATTACTTTGCATACAACTAGGCGTTCCACATATTTATTCACAAGTAAAGCAATTTTGAGGGCTTCAATAAGATTAAAACGCGTATATGTATTTTATTATATTATTTATGTGCTTATGTTTTCTCTATGTGCTCGCGGTGTTTTGTATGTATGTGTTTGTGTTCAAAGGACAGCAGAAAAAACGCTTATTTCAAGGTCAAATAAATTGACTATCTACTAGTAACCATAATAAACACAATGTTGACTAATGTTCGCATTCCATTAGCCTCTAGCAAATACGTGAAGTGTATTTATGCGTGTATCCAATGTATCTTATCCACTCCTATGCTTTCATAATAAATATATGCCCATAAATATTATTTTTATCAGCATATGGGTTATACCCACAAACTCATAGCTATGCAAAGGGGTATAAAATGGGTATAGAAGCGTTTACATGGTGCTCAAACTCGGGTTTTCGAATTATACAAGTGTTCTCTATGTATATGTTCCATAATGTCTAATATCAATGGCTCATGAGCAAATAAAAGAAGGTTTCATACGATTTAATTGTACGTTTTCCCCTATTTCTGAGCCAGTGGTTGAAGATTGTGAATGCTTCACACGCATATATCTACATAAGTATGTACATGAACAGCATAACTCGGTTCTGTCCAACTGATGCCATTTGATTTACCCTTTACAATAAAATACCCGAGTTAACTAAAACTCCTCTTGCTTGTCATATAATTTTTTGAAGGTAAGCAGCTCAGTAGGATCAGCATGATCTACTACTATTATAACGGGACAACATAAGTTTTTAAAATAGCAAAGCCTGTCTTTATGCAAAATGCTTGAGAGAATAAAGTACCAAATTTTAATCACAGGCAAATATATCATATAGCTGCGGACTCACCCTCGTTGATACTGACTTCATTATGACAAATAATTTATAAATGCATTATAAACCAGATACGCTTAACCATTCAAATTGCATTACTTAATCATTTCGACTTAGCCATCACCGTTAATTTCGCATATGTAACAAAGGATGAAACAGACTCTGTTGCTTAATGTGGGTGTGTGAATTTTCCGCTTGCTTGGTAACTCTGCAGTTTCCTTGCTGTTGTTGCCATCGAGGCCATAAAACCCACAAAMAGCATCAGTTCTTGCGAACCAATAATTTATTATATACATAAATATGTCTGAATGTCTGAATATATATCGCGTCATTGGCAAAAGTTCAAAGTACTACAGCAGCTGTCCGAGTCTTGCCATGGCAGCGTTGATAAACAAAGGCTTATTGAATGTAAACTTTGAGCGATGCATTGCAACAACACCAACATCTCTCAACAAATCCATCAGCGGTTTGGAGACAATACACAAAAGTTAAGACCATCCAATTGTCGCGTGGCTTTAAGACGCCGACCACAAGTAGGGGTAGAAGCTGGGACAAAGATTTGCAAATTTGGAAGCACGAAGAAATTCATTTATGATGTGCTTACAGGTACATACTTAGATACTGACATAAATTGGGTAGTCGAAAAAGTATTTTCGTATTTCTAATCAAACTTCAACTTAATTTTTTCAATCTGAACTAGCTCCATACATACATACATATGCTATGTACATGTATATATAATATTAAACATTTACTCGGGAAATTAGTTGCAAGCGGCAATTTGCTGATTAAATTCACATACGCATATATTTAATTGCGTTTGCGTTTTGCAACAACAATGGGCGGATTAATTTCCATTTCATAAAAAATAAATTAAGTAGTTTTTTATATGTAGTCATGTGCAATATTCCCCATGTCGACGAACTATTCGTTTACCAACGTTTACCATACATGTATACAAGGCGCTCTCTTGCATTTTATGGATGCTTTTATTTACAGTGAACAGTTTTAATGTGAGTGATTCACTTTTACTTACTTTCATCTGTCACATCTTGCAGATTACAATATTCTTTTATAGCACCTTTGTTAGTGTGTGTGTGCAGCGCGGATATTTATTTGCATGCACGTTGCATTGCTTGAAAGAAAAGACGCCAAGTTTTATCCGCCTTTGTTTGTTCCCAACCATGCACGTTTATTATACTATACGCGTGTGCACTTACATACATATGTACATGTAGAGAGGAAATATGTATATTTGCATGTCCCACCTGAAAAGAAGACAAAAAGAACAGTTACACATATGCATGTGTAGTATATATAATACATACTAAAGCACTACGCAATTAAATGTAAATCAATATACTTATTTCCGTATGCCGCGAGTGCATCTACTAAATGCGTTCACAGAGAGCTGTGCACAATAGAATTTGTTTCTGATAATTAGAATATCTGCCGAACGTTCTAAATACTACATATATGTACGTATATCCACAAACAGTATGCTTGTTTATGAATTCGTTTATTTTGTATCTTATCAGTGTTACTTTCCCGGGATGTCACCCCAGATTCCCTCTCGAGAATCACTTTTTAAACAGAATTTGGGATATTATTTTTGCCAGGTTAATAATTCTATTTAAACCAACTAAACTTTTACTCTGGCTGTATAATATTATACTTCCCTACTACGTTATATATATTTACATAGAAATGAAATAAATGAGTATTTAAGTATATAGTATATTGTATATTCAATTGCTGCAACAAAAGACAAARCCTAATTCACCGATAATTCCACCTCTTTTGTACATATTTACCACCGTTGTTGGTGGTTCTGTTGTTTATCATTTTAATCAAGAATACCAGAAATG